TAGATTGTGTTGGCCCACTACCACGTACAAAATCTGGGCACATTTATTAGCTCACCCTCATGTGCACCACTACTCGCTACCCAGAGGCTATACCGTTGCGCTCATTAAAAGCGAAAGCTATTTTAAAAGCACTGATCACATTCTTTTCCACCTTCGGTTTTCCAAAAGTGATCCAGACTGACCAGGGCACAAACTTTATGTCCCGAGTGTTCAAACAAGTGCTTTCTCAACTGAACATCAAACACATTACATCGAGTGCCTACCATCCGGAATCTCAGGGGGCATTAGAAAGGTTCCATCAAACTTTGAAGTCCATGTTGAGTAAATACTGCGCTGAGTTGAGCAAAGACTGGGATGAGGGGTTGTCTTTATTGTTATTTGCGATCCGTGAGTCTGTCCAGGAGTCATTGGGCTTTAGCCCGGCCCAATTAATTTTCGGGTACGATATTCGAGGGCCCTTAAAATTATTACATGAGTCGTGGGTTTCAGAGCCAAAACAAGAATGTCATCTTCTTGATTATGTTTGTACTTTTCGCGAGCGTTTGCACAATGCGTGTAAACTAGCTCAGATTAGTTTGGGGAATGCTCAGGCAAAAATGAAAGAGCGCTATGATAAAAAGGCTGTGTCTCGTTCGTTTTCTGCAGGAGATAAAGTCTTGGTCTTGTTGCCAGTTCAAGGTGCTGCATTAGAGGCGAAGTTTTCCGGACCGTATGTCATTGATAAAAAGCTGAGTGACACGAATTATGTTGTGCGCACACCCGACAGACGTAGAAAATGCCGTGTGTGTCACATTAACATGTTGAAGCATTATGTGAGTCGTGAAGATGATTCGGAGTCAAAAAGCTCTGTAATCGCTCCTGTGGCTGTCGTGATCACTTCTGACAGTGGCTCAGATGAAGATGGTCTAAGTATGCAGAAGTCCTTAATTTCTTGTGGCAAATTGAATAATTCCCAGGCTCTGAGTGTTTTAAAGTCACAGTTGTTGCATTTGTCGGATAGCCAGCAAAGCGAAATGCTTGATTTAATTCATTGTTTCCCTTCACTATTTTTAGATGTCCCCTCACGAACTTCAGTATTGAAGCACGATATAGACGTGGGCGAATGCCGGCCTATTAAACAGAGTGCTTACCGCGTGAATCCTGCTAAACGGAAGGTAATGGGAGATGAGGTTAAATATCTCGTCACAAATGGTCTCGCAGTCCCGAGCTCAAGCGCGTGGAGCTCACCGTGTATCCTCGTTCCTAAGTCTGATGGCACGCAACGATTCTGTACGGACTACCGAAAGGTAAATGCCGTGACGAAACCCGATTCGTATCCCCTTCCATTAATGGAAGATTGTATTGAGAAAGTAGGCTCTGCACGTTTTGTCACAAAATTAGATCTGTTGAAGGGTTACTGGCAAATAACCTTGACGGAGCGTGCTGCTGAAATTTCTGCTTTTGTGACGCCAGATGACTTTCTGAATTACTCGGTGATGGCTTTCGGGCTACGGAACGCTCCCGCCACCTTTCAGCGCTTAATGAATATAGTGCTCAGTGGAGTGTCTAATTGTAAAGCGTACCTCGACGACATTGTCATTTATTCTGACACATGGGACGAACATCTGTCAACACTGAGAACTGTGTTTTGTCGTTTGCGAGATGCCTCTTTGACACTTAATTTAAGTAAGTGTGAGTTTGGTAAGGCGACTGTTACCTATTTGGGAAAGCAGGTGGGACAGGGGGAAATTCGACCTGTCGCTTTGAAAGTGCAAGCCATTGTAGACTTTGCTGTTCCCCGAACGAAACGTGACCTTCGGAGATTTTTAGGAATGGCCGGTTATTATCGGAGTTTTTGCAGGAACTTTTCAGATGTTGTGCTGCCTTTGACGAATATGCTTCGCATTTCAAGTGAGTTTGAGTGGACAGATGAATGTCAGTCCGCGTTCGATTCTGTCAAGTCTCTTTTGAGTAATGCTCCAGTGTTAATGGCTCCAAATTATTCACATGTGTTCAAGTTGGATGTAGATGTGAGCGCTACGGGCGCAGGTGCTGTCCTACTTCAGGATGACTCGAATGGTGTGGAACATCCTATCGGCTATTTCTCAAAGAAATTCCTGAAGCACCAGCTCAATTATAGCACAATTGAAAAGGAGACGTTAGCCTTGCTTTTAGCTTTGCAACACTTTGAAGTGTTTATTGGCTCTAGTTCTCTGCCCGTGCTTGTTTTTACAGATCACAATCCACTTGTCTTCTTGTCTCGGATGAAGAATGCAAATCAGCGCATTATGCGCTGGAGTCTATTTATTCAAGATTTTAATATGGATATTCGGTACAAGAAGGGAAAAGATAATGTTCTCGCCGATGCTTTATCTTGATCATTTATTGTCGAGTAATCTACTACGTAGATTCTTTGTGTGTGGGAGTGTTACGACTGAAGTTTATTTATTTTTTTATTATTGCGGATTGTACACCTTTTTCTTTTGTCCCGCCTCCTTGCTGTTTTTCTGATGTCTTATAGGCTACCACGCCGGCGTGATTCCCTGCTCTGATTGGCTGCTGGTCTACGAGGCCTGTATAAAACGGAGCTTCTGGCAGGAATCGGGGAGCTCATTTCTGCTACGTTCGGTGTTTGGAGTGGAGCTCCTGGGTTTCCCTCACCCCTTCGGCCGACGACCAACAATTATCACCTTTGTATTGATGACCATCCTATGCTTGAATATTTATTGAGAGTTTGAGCGTGTAGGGGTGACCTGCCTATTTATTTGATTACTTTTGACTTTGTTTATATTAGGGAGTCAGGTAAGATTCTTGTATGTTTCTTTAAATAGTAATAGGTAATTTAGTGGATTTATTTTATAGATTCTTTTGTTTGTTATTTTGGCCTGTGGTCACCCTGACGAAATGCTCGTTTATATAAACCCTATTTTTCTATAATAAATATCTTCATATATACTCTCAATTGAGTGTGTGAGTTTGGTTGTCGACCGAAGGGAATCTTTTGCTTTAAGTTTTGTTTAGTTTGGGAAATCCACCACCCCAACACATTTGTTTGTTCTTCGTTTATTATGCCCTTTTCGTTTCCCCTAGACTTGGGGCGCAATAGGCGCATATCTTCAGGATAGGCGAGGGTGGCATTTCCGGACCACTATGTGGCCATTGTCCTCCACAGGGCACGGGCAGCTGACTTTGAAGGTTCATAAGAGCACAGTCAATCACTGTGCGAAGCTTATGCATAAGCCTGGTGAAGAACCGTCCCTGTGCAGCATTTGATAGTAATAATCTAGGAAAATTCTTTAAAATAACAGTGTTTCTCTGTAAACATTTTAATGAAAATATCTGTAGATTTATTATTATTTGCACTTTTTTTCAACAAAGAAATTTTACCTTAATTTTATGGTTTTTGTTTGGCAGCCGTAGCTGCCAGTCATTTGACCTTTTTTATGATTTTTTAAAATTTTTTTACAGAGCAAGTAATTACAATTTATTACTTTAATTTTACGTAATTTTAAATGTACTTAAAAAACAGGAAAAAACACTAACTAATACGTCAATTTTTTTTGTAAAAAACAGAAACTGCTGTAATTTGTCATTACTTATATAGTACATAAAATAACATTCAAGCCGTTAATTTACAGATATTGTTTGTAATTTTTACGAACTTTTGAATATAATTTAAAATAACAGAAAAAATACTGTATAAATAATACTGTAATTTCCCTGTATAAAAAACACAAATTTCAGTAATTTGTCTTTAATAATAAAGTACCTAAAATGAAAGTCAAACGGTTAATTTAGAGAGATTGGTTGTCATTTTACTAAGTTTTGAATATAATGTGAAATGACAAAAAATTACTGTAAAAAATTTAAGGATATTTTCTGTAAAATTAGGTTTTTTTTTTATAGTGTAGATCACACTTCCTGAGCCTGAAAATAAACACCAACACTGATTCATTCCAATAATTGAGAATTAATTTAAGTTTATGTAAGACAATTTGAGAACTGGTGATGCAGTGGCGCAGTAGGTAGTGCTGTTGCCTCACAGCAAGGTCGCTGGTTGAAGCCTGGACTGGGTCAATTGGCATTTGTGTGTGGAGTTTGCATGTTCACCCTACATGTTCGCTTGAGTTTCCTGCGGGTGCTCTGGTTTCCCCCACAGTCCAAAGACATACAGTACAGATGAATTGGGTAGGCTAAATTGTCTGTAGTGTATGAGTGTGAATGAGTGTGTGCGTGTATGTGTCCCAGAGATGGGTTGAGGCTGGAAGGGCATCTGCTGCGTAAAAACGTGCTGGATAAATTGGCGGTTCATTCCACTGTGTTGACCCCTAATTAATAAAGGGAAAAAGCCGAAAAGAAAATTAATTAATAAATTTAAGAACTCACTGGCATATCGAGGAATCACAATGAGTCCAATAGTCAATCTAAAAATCTTAGGCAATCACCACATTCTATGGTCATTTAGGACTGCCTCAAGGGCGTTACACCATTGGAGAACACATCACAGATACCAAAGAGCCAACTGATTTGCCTATTTGCACCAATACTTTGTCCATAGCTGTTCTGGGGACCCTATGCCAAATTTTTGTATGGTACTCAACAAAAGCAAGTAACATTTGCAATACTTTGGTGTAAATGAAAAACTAGTAGTACAAACAATAGTCGTCTTAACATTTGATGTAAGATAGTTATGCAGCAGGGGGGTCCCATCTCTATTGTTTTCAAATGACATCCAGAGACTTTTATGACCAGAGAGTCAGGACCTCGGTTTAATGTCTCAACTAAAGTACAGTGCTCACTGACACTATAGAGTCCACATCACTATACTGAGGCATTAGAACCTTCACAGACGGCAGGTTGAGCTCTCCCTGCTGGCCTCATTGACACCTCTTTAAGCAGCAACCTAGTAATAATGAGGTAATAATCAGGCTCAACCGTGCTTAGCTTCAGTGGTGACCATGTGAGAGCTGCAGAGAGCTAGCTGCTGGCAGACAACAATTTTACTGATGCAAGATACTCACATGAGTGTGTTGAGTTTACAGTGTTTATCCTGCAGTAGAGCAGAGAGTTGATTCACTCGTGTGTATCCTAGTTTACGACCTCTCAGATTCAGTTCTTTCAGGAGTAACGGGTTTTTACCCACAATTCTAGACACAAACCGACAGAATTCATCAGCAGCAGGACTCAAAAACCTGAAGAAGAGAAGATAAAGCAAGAGTCAGATCTCAACTACTGTCACAGTTTACTGCATTACAAAACATGATGAGAAGACAAGATTAACCCATTTACAACACTTTTACAAAACCTAAAACAAATCTAATGTTCAAGTTAACACAAGTTAATACAGCTTGCACAATTAACATAATGGGCAAGTATTTTAGCAACTTGTGCATGAGTTTTCTAGTCGATGGACAATTTACTGGATGGCTGAAGTTAGAGGTCGGTATTGCCATGGGCTGCTCGATTTCTCCTATCCTGTTTGTAACAGCCTTTAAAGTAATCCTCATCAGAGCAAGACAGATGGCCAGAGGGCTGACGTCACCATCAGGTGGAAGAATCCCTGTGATAATAGGGTACATGGATGATGTAACATCAATACTTTAAACAGCACCATGCACAGCTAGGCTCCTTAAGCGCTTGGATGAACTGATTCAGTGGGCTAGGATGAAGATCAGGGCAGCAAAGTCGAGGAGTCAGTCAATAAGGAAAGGGGTGAGGGATGACAGGACAGTAATTACAGCAGGAGGAGAGATGATCCCTTTGCTGAAAGAGCAAACTGTGAGAAGCCTTGGACGAGAGTATACATCAGAGCTCTCCGATAGTCAGATGGGGAAGGCGGTGCAGAAGCAGTTAAGAGAAGGGCTGGAGATAATCGACAGCAGTCAGCTTCCAGGGAAATTGAAACTATGGTGCTATCAGTTTACACTTTTCCAGCGGGTGATGTGGCCATTTAAAGTATCAGAAATTCCATTGTTCCATGTTGGAAAAATGTACACACTCTCCAACACCTATATTAGGAAGTGGCTGGACCTCCCATGTTGTTTCTCGGATAAAGGTCTATATGGCAATAATGTACTTCAGCTTCCTCTAAAGGCTCTCAGTCATGAATACAAGCAGGAAAAGGCTCGTCTCGTGTTGGAACTACAGATGTCAAGAGACAAAGCATTCAGAAGTGCATGGGTGACCATTCGCACTGGGCGCAAGTAGAAGGCACAGCAGGAGGTCAACCAAGCCATTGACAGGTTACAGCACAAGAACATAATAGGAAGAGTTCAAACCAGCAGGGCAGGGCTCAGATGGGGAGAGCCATCAGTTTTGATCCGAAGCCACAAGGGAGCAGAGGAAGGTTATGGTGGTGGAAGAGATCTCCCAAGTGAAGCAGGACTGCTACTTTATAAAAGCTGTTGCACAGGGCAAGTAAGGAGCATGGACTCACTGGGAAGATTTTGTTAACAGGGCCATATCCTGGGCACATATTTGGCGAACTCCGCAGTCATGGTTGAGTTTCCTCAGAGGGGGCATAGCACAGGTACAGAGAGAACAAGGTCCCTGCTCGCACCTGGAAAAAGGTGGGAGATGTGCGTTGACTTGGACTCTCAGCTTATATTCCCAACGGAGATCACACAAACAAGTTACTGGATGTGGCTACAGAGGAGGGACAAGAATTGGGGTGTGGTACACCAATAAGAGCAGCTGCAGGGGGTGGCGGGGAGGGGTCCCCCCAAGCCACTGCCACCCCCACCCCCCCACCCCCCAACCCCAAATGCCCTATGTAAAGACCATAGTTGCAGACATAAAAACCATGAGAAACCTGGTAGATAAAAACAAGACTGTCCAGTAGTTCATGGAATGCCCTTAGCCCTTTCTCATATATAAATATTCACTAAAGTATTAATGCCCTTATCTGACAAGAGAGAATGAGTGAATGTCTCATAGCGGGTAATAATTATTCCACTTTGGAGACTGCGTACAGAAAAAAAACATACATACTGTAAGCCAACCAACCTGTATTATCAGAGCCAATACCATCAATGAGCTCTAATTTTACTACCAAACAAAATTAGCACAACTTTTGTAGAAGTGGGCCACAGATGTATAGTATTTATTTTGAAAGATCCTTCGGTCTTAGATGTGTTTCATGTATTAATGCTATGATTAGCTTATTCTGCTTGAGGTAGTGTAAACATTTCAACCGCTTTACTTTCGAGTTTACATTTCATGACATCTGCACTAAGCGTATAACATTTAATCGGTTCATGTGGTAAAGAAACAAAATGAATAAATTTGCACATTAGCAGGAAATTATACAAAGTAGAACCAAACTGATACTACAATTTAAAGGACAAAAGAAAAACAACACTGACAAAAGCATAAACCCCAACTGGGTGTGTTGTTAACAACCCCGAGCAATCTCTGCTTACCAGTGAAGAAGTGAATTATCTGATTGATGGCTGCTCCCTTCTTGAGTCTTTAGACTTATGAATAAAGTTGAATGTTTAAGGGCCTGGATTACAGTGCATCCGGAAAGTGTTCATAAATGAATTTATTTCCTCAACATTCTACACACAATACCCCATAATGCCAATGTAAAAAAAAGATTTGTTGAAATTGTTGTAAATTTATAAAAAAATTAAAAATCTGATAAATCACACGTACAAGTATTCACAGCCATTGCTGTGAGCTCTAAATTGAGCTCAGGTACGTTCTGTTTGCAATGATCATTCTTGAGATGACAACCGTTGTCCATCTTATTGTTTTAGTGAAACACTCTCTAATTAGTTGACTTTAATGCTTATTCTCCTCATGTCTCACCTCAGTGTCTTCAGTGTACAGTGTGGATCCTGTAGTAACTTAGTGAGCTTCTTCACTCCTGATTGTCCAGGATCATTTCCTCTGAGATCCAGCTCTATCGGGTGTGAAGGGTTTGATCTCAGAGCTGAAGCCAGAGCTTTATAACTTTCTTCCCCGATACTGCAGTCTGACAGACTAGAGGAAATAAAACTCAGAAATGAACATAATATTGTGGTTCATGTTAAGACATAAAGCTCAGAATCACTAAAAATAAACACATTTTCAGGTCAATTTTAGGCACCATAGGCTCATGTGTTGATTACCTGCAAAATACTAGTAGGTCTAAAAACAGAAATGATTAAAACAGAATACATTTCAGAAAATACCATATTAACATTAAACTATTAGGAAATGTTTTAATCCAGAAATGTACTGAATATGAAGAGTTGTTGGCAAAAACAGGTAGCTACTGTATGTAGTATTTTTAAGAAATATTTTTCAGTTGTATTTTTTATTACACAACATAAAAACATGATATCTAAAAATGACTAAAAATTATGTTATTTGTTTTGGAAATAAAATCTTCACTTCTAAAAAACAAAGATCCAGAAATATTAAATGTATTAGACATCAGCTCACTTGAGTTTCTCCAGTTTACTGTCCTTCAGTCCATCAGAGAGCAGCTTCACTCCTGAATCCTGCAGATTATTATTGCTCAGGTCAAGATCCTTCAGACTGCTGGAGTCTGATCTGAGAACTGAAGCCAGAGCTGAACAGCTTTCCCCTGTAAGACCACACTTACTGAGCCTGAAAATAAACACCAACACTGATTCATTTTAATAATTGAGAATTAATAAAATTTTATGTAAGACAATATAAAGAGTACAACATTTTTTAATGATGCATAACTATAAGATTTATTTTTTTAATGATAATGAAAATAAAAAATGTTCTGCATACTGCCCACATTCTGGAACATATGAAATTCTTTTGTCTTTAAATGTGCTGCTATTTTCTTAACCTGTTATATGGTTATTGTTATTCTTTACCAATCATAATATTTGTATACATTTATATAACATACCACGCACAGTTGAAGTCAGAATTATTAGCCCCCTTTGGAATTTTTTTTTTCTTTTTTAAATATTTCCCAAATGATGTTTGACAGAAGGCGAGGCAGTGGCGCAGTAGGTAGTGCTGTCGCCTTACAGCAAGAAGGTCGCTGGGTCGAACCTCGGTTCAGTTGGCGTTTCTGTGTGGAGTTTGCATGTTCTCCCTCCCTTCGCGGGGGTTTCCTCCGGGTGCTCCGGTTTCCCCCACATTCCAAACACATGCAGTACAGGTGAATTGGGTAGGCTAAATTGTCCGTAGTGTATGAGTGTGTGTGAATGTGTGTGTGGATGTTTCCCAGAGATGGGTTGCGGCTGGAAGGGCATCCGCTGCTTAAAAACTTGCTGGATAAGTTGGCGGTTTGTTCTGCTGTGGTGACCCCGGATTAATAAAGGGACAAAGCCGACAAGAAAATGAATGAATGAATGAATGTTTAACAGAGCAAGGATATTTTCACAGCATGTTTAATAATGTTTTTTTTTTTTTTTTTTTTTTGGAGAAAGTCTTATTTGTTTTATTTTACATCAAAATTATTAACCCATCCTTATACAATAACTTGCCTAATTACCCTAACCTGCCTAGTTAACCTAATTAACCTAGTTAAACCTTTAAATGTCACTTTAAGCTGCATATAAGTGTCTTGAAGAACAGTTAGTTAAATATTATTTACTGTCATCATGGCAATAATAAAATAAATCAATTATTAGAGTTGAGTTATTAAAACTATTATGTTTAAAAAATGTGTTAAAAAAATCTTCTCTCCGTTCAACAGAAATTGAGGCCAATAATTCTGACTTCAACGATATATGACATTTTATAAAAACTAAATAATACCTTACATAACACAATTAACAAAACAGCCTTTCTTTCTTTCTTTCTTGCTTGCTTTTTAAATGTTTCTCACCTCAGTGTCTCCAGTTTACAGTGTGAATCCTTCAGTACGTCACATAAAAGATTCACTCCTGTGTTTCTTATTTGATTCTCACTGAGGTTCAGTTCTCTCAGGTGTGATGGGTTTGATTTCAGAGCTGAAGTCAGGATCACACACTGTTCCTCTGTAATACTGCGATTACGCAGACTAAAGACAGAAAGAGAAAAAACAATGTAAGAAATAATTCTGCAATATATGAAACCGTTTAAATTATCACCTTGGAATTAAAAGCTTCTATCTGTGTTATGAATGATTTTTAGATAATGAGCTTTAAAGTTTTTGCATTCCATAGCAAACAGTATGTTTGTAACATTTGATGTTTTTAAATAAAAAGTGTTATAATGTAAACAACTTACAAAAAAAACAAAACAAAAAAAAAAAACACATCCCATAATGCAATCAAGTTGTAATTTAATAAGAATATGTCAATAACTCAATTTTGGCAAAACGTCAGATATAACCTTATAATTCTAAGGTGATGAAATGAAAATGATGTACTTGAATATTATGCATTGAAAAAAAAAAAATGTTACTGAAGTGTGTAGGTCATCATCACCAAAAAAGAATATAACCATTTAAGTATTTGTCAGAAATCCAGTTTTTCGGATTTCAGCATGTGAAACTATTTTATAGCTACAAAGTTTGAAAAAAAAAAATCATGCTTTCAAGCTAGGAACAATTAATTTGAAAGTTAACAGTTTAACGATTGAGATGTTTTTAAAAGTGTGCGGTATTATATTGTCTGTTTTATTATAACCACTTTACCATTTTATAAATGGTATTAATATCAACTGATGTAACATTACTAGTGGCAGAGATAGGTAATGAAGTACAAATACTGTGTTACTGTAGGCTACTTAAAGGCTCATTTAACCATAGACAAAAATTTCAGAGATTTTTACGTTTTTACTAGTGCTGTCAATTGATTAAAATAAATTAATTAATTAATCACACTTTTTTTTTATTAATTGCGATTTATAACATTTAGACTGAAACTTGTAATTTTAGTTATTCAAATGTAGAATTAATGTACACGCAAGACAAAAACTATTTAAATTCAAAATATAAACGTTTATCAGAATTTTAGTTAAACTTGTAACAGATTTCTTCATGTAAACAAGATTCAAACCCACAATAAACCATCAAGATCCTGGCTTGACAGCCATATTTATTACAGAAATAAAAACACAGACATGTTAAAGCCATTTGACTTTCAAAAAAATCAATGCCAATAAAGAAAACATTGATTTGAAAGTTGGATTCTAAGTGGACTGCAAAAAAATGCCACAATAAAGGCATTGCAAATGTGCAAAATGGAAAATTATAATAATAATAAAGTATTGAATACAAACAATTGCACTCATTGTAAAGTTGTATTGCTGTGAGCAACTCAATCTCACAGCAATTCGTAACTTTTTGATTTAGTGCACACACACACATAGAGAGAGAGAGAGAGAGAGAGAGAGAGAGAGAGAGAGAGAGAGAGAGAGAGAGAGAGAGAGAGAGAGAGAGAGAGAGAGAGAGAGAGAGAGACACGCAGGACAGGGCAGACGGAGTGACTCCCTTCAGATTCAACACGCATGATCGCGTTCATCAAATTTGCTTAAACTAAGTGTTCAAAAGTATGGCTGTATTTCACAAGGGTTCTGACAAAGCAGACACTTGCGTTTAAGGGGGAAACATGTCAAACTTAGTAAAACATTGGAGGACACATGGAATGCGCTGTCTTTTGACAGCTCGCGACTTCATTCGGCACTTCATAGACACTAATATGATTAAGAAAATACTCTTACTACGAGTCTACCATGTAAGCAGCAACCCATGAAAGGACCACCAAGTGACGAAATGCAGAGGTTTTTTTTCCGTTCGCCATGCGGTATCAAATTCCATTAAAACGGAAGTCGAAAGTTAAAAATGAAACACCCGAAATTGCATAAAACTCACGAGAGCCTGGTAATGCGACATTAACTATTTGATACCAAAACTTGCCTTCTCAAAGTGCTTCCTTGTTCATATATATGTTTCTTTGCATGTTGAACACACGTCAACCACAACAGGAAATAAAAAACCTGCAACTGCGTTAATTGCGAAAATTCTTTTAACGCAATAAATATTTCAAATTAATTACATGCGTCAACAAACTAATTTTGACAGCACTAGTTTTTACACGTTGAACATCAGATACGACAGCTTTACTATCTGTCAGCTTTAATTGTATGGAATTACTATACAGTACCTTTGGTTTAATCCCTACTTTATCAGGACTCCACAGCAAAATGACCTAAACCCGTTGATCAAGCACACACGTGTTTGTGTGTATGTGTGTGTGTGTGTGTTTAAGTGTAAGCATGCATGTACATGTGCACGCACATGTGTGCATACACAAACACACACACATGTAGGCTATGTGAATGTGTGTATGTAAGTGTATATGTATGTGTGGGTGTGTTGTATAGGTAACAATTCAATATGGTTGCACTAATATGCATTAAATAATGCTTAATTAATGCACAGATAATCACCAGATAATTTAGAACTCACAATCAACTAAACCATTCATTAATGATCACTGCATGAGCAATAAATAAACATTCAATATGATTCATACATTAAAGGGGTGGCCCAGTATGATATTTCAAACTTCAGTGTAATGTAGCTGTGTGAACATAAACAACATGTCTGAATGTAAGCCACTCAAAGTTCAATGCAAAGGCAATACAATGGCTTTTACAGATTTAGCTTAGCAAAACCTATAGCAAATTAATTCGAAGACTACAAAAAAATACATACGAGCTAGTGAAATCATAAGCTATACACCAGAGGTGCTGTAATGTTACAGCAGAGAAAGCAAAAATTCTGTCCAAACTCTTTTGTGTTTTGTGTTTTCAGGCTTCCAAAGGACACAACCCAAAGAGAGAAGTGCTTACAGTTTAATTTTAATTATGTTCCAGGGAATCATACTGTAAAAAATATATATAGCTAGCATTTGACAAAGGAGAACTTCCAGAATCTCTCCTAGTTCAGTGTTAAATTTGGCTAAAAAACTCCTCCAACCGATGAAACTGTGGATTGTGAACCACAGTATTTTTATTTGTTAAAATTAATCTATTACATGCACAGTTTCTAGCATTAAAAGTAAGTTGTAGTGAAGACATAAAAAAGCATGTAAACAACAGGAAATGCTCTTTGGCATCTTTTGCATTTTGGCTCTTCTTCATTTTTCTGTCTGATTCAGGCAGCTAATGCTGCTAACAGCTGCTCTGTCTGGACTGCTTACACATCACAAAAGCGTATGCTTATAGGGCCGTTACTTGAAGCCAATCCACGAATCAAAGCACATTATGCTAGCTGACCAATCACAGCCTCTTAAGGGCGGGCTTTTCAGAGGAACTAGGAAATATGTCAGTCGTTTTCATGTTAGCTGAGTAGCTGTATATAATCAAAGTAAGATATAGAAAAAAATAACATGATTTTCTACAAGTAAAGCTTGAGCAAGGAATGCTTTGCATCTTATAAACACAACCAAGCCTTAAAACTTCCCTATTGTTTTTAAATGACATCCAGAGATTTTAAATGACCACAGAGAGTCAGGACTCGGTTTAATGTCTCATCCAAAGTTTGGTGTTTACTGACACTATAGGGTCCCCATCACTATACTTGGGTGCTAGGACTCACACAGACCAAAGGATAAGCTCCACCTGCTGGCCTCATTAACATCTCTTCTTGCAGCAAGCTACTGTAGTTTTCTCAGGGGGTCTTCCATCCAGGTAATCATCAGGCTCAACCCTGCTTAGGTTCAGTAATGACCATGTGAGAGGGCTAAAGAGCAGAGAGCTAGCTGCCGCCAAACAACAAGTTGACTGATGTAAGATACTCACATGAGTGTGTTGAGTTTACAGTGTTTATCCTGCAGTAGAGCAGAGAGTTGATTCACTCGTGTGTCTCCTAGTTCTTGATCACTCAGATTCAGTTCTTTCAGGAGTAACAGGTTTTTACCCTCAATTCCAGACACAAACTGACAGAATTCATCAGCAGCAGGACTCAAAAACCTAAAGAAGAGAAGATCAAGCAGGAGTCAGTTCTCAACTACTGTCACTGTTTACTGCATTACAAAACATGATGAGAAGACCAGATTTATCTATTCATAACACTTTTACAAAAACTGAAACAAAAAATATAAATGTCACCTGCAGGATGAAACTGGCCACCTAGTTTCTTGTTTATATTAATTTACAGTTTAAATTAAAAATGTGTTATTAAATTTACTATAATATACATAATTCAAAAATGTAAATCAAATTTGAAATAATTTTCTACTTACACTTTTGTATGTGCTTTATTATTTTTAAGCAGTTTAAGCCCTCTAAAATAGAGTATCAATACCATAAAATACTTGACACCTTTATTAAGATGACTTTGTCTTATTATTGAATAAACATGACTTCTGGTGGTGCAATAAAGATGGCACACGCTTGAACGTTAAGCTCAGTCTTGTTTTTATAATAAATCCTTATTCATACAACCAGTTCATATAAAAGTAAAGTTTTCAGAATGAGTACGTCAACGAGATATAAGAATACATCAAAAAATGCCAGATTACCATACAAGCTAAAGTTCAAAAATCAATAAGAAAAGAGAATTAAGATTGACATAAACAAACAAAAACATCATTGACAAAATTGGAGACTTCCGTTGAGGATCTGAAATGCAAAATAAACGGTTTGATGAGCAGAATTGGAGAGACTGAGGAACGTATCGGTGTTGCTGAGGAGACAGGGTAGAGGCACGAAAAGGTGCTCCAATATCTTCTGGAACTTGAAACATATCACACAGACAGATGCAAAGACTTCCAAAAAAGACTTCGTCAAAGTAATTTGAGTGAAAGCTAATGTGATGTTTTTCAGACAGAAATACGTTGTGTAGCAGTATTAAGATGTGTGAAATTAAATTGAAACTGAAAAATATAAATTGCAAAAGTTTGGGCAAATTGTAAAGCCTGTAGTCATTTAATGCTGATTGATTACAGCACAAAAATTATTTGAGTGGCTCGGAAAAGGGTATTTAATATAGCTGATTGCTAGTTGTGTTTCTCCTTCTTGTGAACCTGAAAGTAGCAATATGAGAACCTCAAAAGAACTTCCTAATGACCTAAAACTGAGATAATTTATCAACATGAGTTAGGAGAAGGATGCCGGATAGAGAGATGTCCTCATTGAAATGTAAGTGAATAATGCGTAATTAAATTGATCTAAGATGCCAGAAAGATGGCAGTGTCTGCAGTATTTTAGATTTTTTAAAGAAGATTTTATGTGTGTAAAATACATCCAAAGACAGTGCAAGTTCTTCGATGTTTTTGATGTTTTAAACATATTGCAACAATTAAATATTACAAAACCCATGAAAGCCTAAATTAAGTGTGTATAGGTCATGATTAATGTGCAGGAGTTGAAACATGAACTTGTTGCATGCATGATGGGTGTCGGAAAAGTCTCAGGAATAAACTGCATGATCTCGCGACCCGTGCTTTAATTAATGTACCTAAATCACAGACAGTTTTTTTATTTCCATTTCAAACACTGGACTAAACTAAATTGTAATTGAATATTAATAATATACTTTGACGGGGCGAAGCAGTGGCGCAGTAGGTACAGCAGCAAGAAGGCCGCTGGGTCGCTGGTTGGAGCCTCGGCTCAGTTGGCGTTTCTGTGTGGAGTTTGCATGTTTTCCGTGCGTTCGCGTGGGTTTCCTCCGGGTGCTTTTGTTTCCCCCACAGTCCAAAGACATGTGGTACAGGTAAATTGGGTAGACTAAATTGTCCATAGTGTATGAGTGTGTGTGTGAATTTGTGTTTGGATGTTTTCCAAGGGTGGGTTGCGGCTGGAAGGGCATCCGCAGCGTAAAAACTTGCTTGATAAGTTGGCGGTGCATTCCGCTGTGGCAATCCCGGATTAATAAAGGGACTAAGCAGACAAGAAAATGAATGAATGAATGAATAATAAATTTTGACTAAACATGGCTCCTGTAGATGGATTGCATAGATATATACATTAGATGTCGCCTGGCCAATTGTTGTCTATTGGAAGGAATGCATCAATAGCGCCGCCATCTTGCTACAGGGTAGTGCTCCTTTGAAATGAATGCGGGACCAAGGTACAGTGGAGGACTGTGGCCATCCAAAGCCAGAGATATACACATATATCTATGATCGGGAGTTTTCTTGGATGTTAGTATGTAATTTTTATTTTGAAATTACAAAAATTATAATTTTACATCACTTCTCTACATTGATGGATCAGTGACCGCACGGGCATTCCTGACAAAAAGCTTGTGTTTGTGTGTACAGAAATGTACTATTCACCCTCCCTGTTAAATTTAATATAATCCGTGTCCTGAAACACACCTCCTCTCCAGCTTTCACTTCTCATACTGACGGAGGCAGCGATTCGTTTGTGAATGAATCCACCGAACGACTCATTCACTAACGTTAGCCGACAATAATACAAGTTTCTGGCAGCGCAGCATCTTGTTTTCATATTTCTTTTGCATTGTTTGCTGATTTTATTCAACAAAACTAGCATAAGCCGAGTGTTTAGTGCGAGTTGGAGCTGCTTTGTCTTATGGTGAATGAAGTAAGTGACTGTTATCATCAATAACGTTACCTGATTAGCACAAAAGTTCAGAACATACAAAAACAGAAAAAAACTTAATATTACCTATAAAATGTTCTGCCTTTGTGCTTTATTTTCTTTGTTTGCTCATTACTACACATGTAGACAGCTCTAAAGATTTTAGCGCTGTTTACGGGTGTAGTAACGAGCAAACAAAGAAAACAAAGCACAAAGGCAGAACATTTAGCAAGATGTAGCAAGATGGCGGCGCTATTGACGCATTCCGTCCAATAGACAATAGGCCAGGCGACATCTAATGTATATATCTATGAATAGAGTGGGGGAACTATGACGTCACTTTGTATACTTATAGGCTGCTATAGATATATACATTAGATGTCGCCTACCTTGTTATTGTCTATTGGAAGGAATGCGTCAATAGAGCCGCCATTTTAGTACAAGGTAGTGCTCCTTTGAAATGAATGCGGGACCAAGGTACAGTGAAGGACTGTGGCCATCTAGAGCCAGAGAGACTGTGGCCATCTAGAGCCACATATACACATATGTCTCTGATCGGGAGTTTTCCCTGAGGTCAGTATAGTTATTTTAAGAAATTACGAAAATTATATTTTCTATCACTTTTCTACATTGATAGATAAGTCTCCGCACTGGCATTCCTGACAAAAAGCTTGTGTTTGTGTGTACAGAAATGTACCATCCTCCCTCCTTGATCTAATCATGTCCTGAAACACACCTCCTCTCCTGCTTTCACTTCTCATACTGACAGAGCGATTAATTTGTGAATAAATCTCCGTTATGAAGGACTCCTTCACTAGCCGACAATAATACAAGTTTCTGGCAGCGCAGCATCTCGTTATATTTCTTTTGCATTGTTTGCTGATTTTATTCAACAAAACTAGCATAAGCTGAGTATTTAGTGCGAGTTGGTGTTACTTTGCCTTATGGTGAATGCAGTAAGTGACTGTATTATCATCAATAACGTTACCTGTGTAGCACAAAAGTTCAGAACATACAAAAACGTAAAAAACTAAACCTTACCTATGTAATGTTCTGCCTCTGTGCTTTGTTTTCTTTGTTTGCTCGTTACTACACCCGTAAACAGCGCCAAAGTACAGCATTTTCATGTAGTAACACTGTCTTGGCTAGTGTGGTTGAATGACATTTGTCCTGGGAGCACTGTACAAATATGGCGGCGCTATTGACGCATGCTCAGGGTTCCTATGTGGTATCTAGTGTATATATCTATGATTGGCTGCTAGCATAGACATGACTGATGTAACACGCTTTCTCCGCTCGAGCACACAGCACACAACGGCAAAACGTGAGGCAAAACACTCGAGGCCATTTGATATTTGATAGGGTTTGATGGTTTGGACTGGGTGTTTTTAAAACACAGTTTTTTTAAAATTACAATGATAAATTACAAACGTTTCATGACACTTTTGTTTATTGGTTAAAGGTTTTTTATAAGAATCATAAATCAAGCGTTCAAGGTAATGGTCATTGTTCAGAATTTTACAATCTAGTTAGGAAAACTCTTTGATCTGTGAAATATAATCAGGGACCTTGTTGTAGTTATTGTGTTTATATTGGAGTTTTTTTTTTTTTTTTTTAATCTACTTTTTTGCTGTATTTTTTTAAGTTGTCATTTTTATATTTTTTATTATAATCATCTATTTATTTATTATTTTTATTTGTTTATTTTTGTGAATGTAAACATTTAAATTAAATGTTATATTTAAAAAAAGTTTAATAAAAACACATAAAAAGCAAAAATTATTTATTGTTGTTTCAAAACAATTCTGAGTTTTTTTACTTAAAGTTTTAAAAACTTTTAGAATTTTTAATAGCTGAAGAAACAGTCTGTCATCTATTCTCTCCTTTCCTATACATAATGAGAATACGTGAATGAATGTCAGTTAGCATTGTGCAATAGTAAAAGTTTAAGACATTGTCTTAAGAATGTCATAGATTATATTCTAGATAATATATATATATATATATATATATATATATATATATATATATATATATATATATATATATATATATATATATATATATTCTGGCATGATGGTAACAAATTGCCATTGTGTCTACTTTAAACACACTTGTGCCTGTGGTGAAAAAGTGTCAAAACTGCATTTATTTCAATTTAGTTAAATATTTCTTATTAGTTTCTTGCTTTTTTCCTTAAAACTGCTTTTGCAGGCTAACAGAAAAAAGAGTGATGTTCCATTTTGAAAACTCTGAAAGACTAAATACAATACCTATAGCTCCCTGTAGTGTATACACTAAATATTTAAAGGGCACCTATGGTGAAAAATCTACTTTTCAAGTTGTCTGGACAGACATGTGTATAAATATAGTGTATAGACCGTCATATTGGGGTGATATAAACACACCTAGTCCTTTTTTTTTCAATTTACAACATAAAAACGTTGGACCAATTGGAGCGGTTTTCAGACCGACCGCAACTTTACGTAGAAGTGCGGTCCCCCCGGCCACCAATATTGATTGACAGGCGCGTGTCACCATATCCTCAGTTTGTCGTTTCACATCCGCCATTTTCAGCGTGTGAGTCAAAGCGGTGTCGCTAGAGGAACACCCTTGCTCTATTTTTAGATGTACTGTAAGGCTCATTGGGCTCAACACAAGATCAGCATTCGGTAGGTTTGCAAACATGTACTTTTCATTGCGTCTACCTTAAAGAAAATACAGAAGGGAAAATAAAGACTCCAAATGTTTCTGGCTTTAAACTAAACATGTTCAGAAATGTTTGCTTTGTGAGCTGCAAGTTTGTGAAGATCTGGAGTGTCTCTCAGACCTGCTGTAGAGTCAAAGATTTACAGTCAATCTGAGCTGATTTAAATGTAATCCAAGTGTTCAGTCCAAAAACATTGAACTATTATACTAATTAACTTTTTAGAGTATCCACAATAATATAATTTTCCATTATCAGTACTTTTATTAAGTGCAATGATTTAGCACTTTTATTATCAAAGCATCACAATAAAGAGTAACCTTACATCCAGTAACCCATTATGTTTATTATTTTAAAATGAAATTGTCACAACTAAACTCTACAGACATTTTTGATGATTAATTTTCATGCAACAAATTATCCATTCTATTGTTTTGTTGAAATACTACATTGTAAACAGTGCTTAATTCTTGCTGGATCCTGTTCCAAAAAAATTTCAGATGTTTGTGTTTTCATTCCAGTATTTATTTTAACTGAATACCTACGTGTGTGCATGTGCGTGTGTGTGTGTATGTGTGTGTGTTTGAGAGAGAGAGAGAGAGAGAGAGAGAGAGAGTGAGGGAGAGAGAGAGAGAGAGAGAGAGAGAGTGAGAGAGAGAGAGAGTGAGAGAGAGAGAGAGAGAGAGAGAGAGAGAGAGAGAGAGAGAGAGAGAGAGAGAGAGAGAGAGAGAGAATGTAAATGAGTGCAAGAGAAGGCTGTGTGGATTGTGTGTGCACACAAGTTAAAGCATAACTATTGGCCCTCAACAATATTTTCAGCCTGTCTGCTTTCTTATGTTTACACCCACACTCATTGGTTGGTGATTATTCTATGACCAGTGAGCAGCAAAAATAAATACTGGCATAGTGGCCAACCTGATTAAATTTATTTTTCAAAATGGCTGAGACAATCACGCATTTCATATTTTGAAGCCACAAGTTAATCTAAAAATGAACCTGATCTAAAGAGATCTCGAGAAGATAAAACTGCGCGGATGGATCAGGATAGCGGGAGATATAAACAAAGCAATCTCAAGTCAGCCAGAAAACATGATGGAAGCGCTAACTGTGGACTCTTCTTGAAGACTAGACTAAGTGAGTCATTTAATTATTGTTTTTTTTCACTTGGCATAAAATAGTGAAGTGAACTGAAAAGTGATTGCTCATGCGATTTACGTTTGTAGCTTCATGTTCTGATTATCCATGACTGACCCATAACATTATATATGGCACAAAATAAGTAAAGACCTTTCAGAAATGTGAAGCTCTTTTTTGCACTATCAACATTGAATGACGAAACGTTCCAGGAAAACGGACACTGTGTGTTGGACGTTGTTCACTGTAACTTTTATTTCCTGGTTTTGTTCTGGGAATTATTCATTTACAAATGAAGCACTGTCTGTAAATAATTGACTTTCATGCATATTTTCCTCATGTCTCACCTCAGTGTTTTCAGTGTACAGTGTGGATCCTGCTGCAAATCAGTGAGCTCCTTCACTCCTGATTGTCCAGGATCATTTCCTCTGAGATCCAGCTCTATCAGGTGTGAAGGGTTTGATCTCAAAGCTGAAGCCAGAGCTTTATAACCTTCTTCACTGATGCTGCAGTCTGAAAGACTAGAGGAAATAAAACTCAGAAATAAAAACAACATTGTGGTTCATGTTAATACACAAATGTGTATGAATCACTAAACATAAACACATTTTCAGATAAAGTGTAAGCACCATAGGTTCATTTGTTTATTGACTGCATATATATATACACTGCAAAAAACTGCAGGTTAAAAGTCTGAAAATTCTGTTTATGAAAAATATAGCTGACTAAATAAAGAATATTTAAAAAATAAAACAAAACATGAAGTGTTCATTTGCAAATATAGATAACCACTGTAATTGGTATTTTTTAGAACTCTGTTTTTTATTTTTATTTTGCAATTTTATTCTTTAATACCCAGCACTAGATAAAAATAGTTATCTGATTTGCAAATAAAAGCTTCTCATCTGTTGGAATATCAAGCCAATTCCATTCGTGTTCAATAAGAAAAGGTCTGGAGAGTTTTTTCTTCAATACCAAAAATATTAGTAATTTATTAGATATAAATGAGTAATTCGATGACAGAGCTCTGGGATACGTTACCCCAAAGCAATACAAGAATTACATTCAAGAGGTTCGCAACTCACATACATTTCCTGACTCCAGCATATATACACAACTGATCTTAACAGGTGGAGTTTTGGTTTCACGTCACTTATCAGTCATTCTGCCGTCCCTTGGCTCTTTGTAACCCCTGGACATTACTTCCTCTTTCTGCAACCTTTCTCTGCATACCAGAACTGAACAATTACATGAATCTTTAAAGAGCCTATATTATGGGTTTTTGAAAATTCCCCTCCATGTAGTGTGTAACACAGCTTTAAGTGAAGTGAAGTATCCAGCTAAGGCTTAAATCTGTAATACAGTGTTTAAAAACGGTTGATTCATCTATAAAAGAGTCGACTCATAGTGCTTCAAACGAGTCGCCTTGATACCGATTTATTAGGTGTTTCGCCATGACGTACGAACGAAACCAAGTTATTCACGTGCACGCGCAAACCCGGGAGATTTCAAACCTGAGGCCCCGCCCTCTGACGCAGAAACCCAGTCACACACACACACACGCACACAAACATGCCGGTCGATTGAAGTCACACTGCAGATGGATATTATATTGAGTCTCTACCCAAAGATGAAACATCAGCATTATAACCAAGCAGTTGGAAACTACTGGAAACTTCTGGAAGCTACATGCTACAAAGAATACTTCATCTGCATTTGTTAAAGGAAGGATCAGTAAAGAGTAACTTACTGATGGACGTCAGGATGGGTTTCTTCCTTCATTTCTCAAGTGTAAGTATGCGCGATTAAAGTTGTTGCCTCGTTGACTATAGCTTGCAAATGAATTTAGTTGTGATTTGTTACTTGTAACCGTGTGTACTGTATCAGGTTAACTGGCTATATTCTCTTATCGCGTGCAAAGCCACGTTAAAAACGTGACGCGTGCTGCTTTGTTTATGGAGCTCCGTGGTAGAGGTCTGCATTCGCGCCAGATTTCTGCGGCGCGGGAATAAATTTCCGAATAAATCGCGGGAGCGGTCGGTAACGGGTTTAATTTGGGACGGGAGCGGGCTGTCTAGCAATATCACGGATATTGCTATGCGAATGAGAAAGAGAGAGCTTTGCCTATGTGACTGCTTGTGTGTGTGTGTGTGTGTGTGTGTGTGTGTGTGTGTGTGTTAGTGCGCGCGCACGTGAGAGAGAGAGAGAGAGAGAGAGAGAGAGAGAGAGAGAGAGAGAGAGAGAGAGAGAGAGAGAGAGAGAGAGATAGCTAGGTGATTTTTGGTTGTGTTCTCCCCCGCTCAAGCGGGATCAGGCGCGGCGGGCAGAAAACCGGGCGGGTTCTCAGGCTAAAACCTGGCGGGTGCGGGCGAGGTGTGTGTTTTTGTGTGTGTGTGTGTGGCAGCTAAAATCAACGCCTACACTATCGAGCGTGTATGAACTGTGATTACTATTTATATTGCTGATTAGCTATTGGGCATTTCACTCTCTGACTGAAGGCAGTCGACCAATCGCGACAGACTGTCATCGGTCCAATCAGCGCAGATTAGCTTCGCGCTAAGGTGTGGTTTGGGAACAAATGAATCACTGGACGATTCATACAGGAGTCGCTGGGATAATTAGGTAAAAATAAATGCAGATTATAAGACCATGAAAAGTGTTTTTTGACCTTGCATGCAGATTAGACTGTTGTTGGAGACCCTTACAACCAAGATATGACCCTATTTCATGTATAATATGGGCTCTTTACTATATTTCACAACTTCTACAAGCATCATGACATTTTGTGACATGTCTAGACAATAGTTCTGGAACAAAGGCCCACACCCTAAAATTATTCTTATTCTGCTTTTCCACATGACAGCAGTTCTTCTAAAAAGTATGCAGCACAGTAAAAAAATAGGAAGTTTGTCTGGTCAAGATGTTTTATAATACAATAGAAAAGATTGATTAATCTGTTGTTAGTCTTAACATTTTCCTAATAAAAAAACACAAAAGTAATGAAAATGAATTCATTTTCTCCAACACATCACAAAAGCAGAGATCCCGAAATGTTGAATGTATTAGACATCAGCTCACCTGAGTTTCTCCAGTTTACTGTCCTTCAGTCCATCAGAGAGCAGCTTCACTCCTGAATCCTGCAGATTATTATTGCTCAGGTCAAGATCCTTCAGACTGCTGGAGTCTGATCTGAGAACTAAAGCCAGAGCTGAACAGCTTTTCTCTGTTAGATCACACTTACTGAGCCTGAAAATAAACACCAACACTGAAGAGTCACAAGTTGAGGTTCAGAACGAAGATGAGTTAACATAACAATCATATCATTATCCATTTGTTTTTATACAATTGACTATTCAAACATTGTGATTATAACAGTATTTAAATTAAACACTAACTAAAATATTACTAATACATGTCTAATATTTGGCAATTGATTAAAGTTTGTATAAAAATATAGAGAAAACAAAAACTTTAAATAATGCATGACGACAAGGTTTATTCTTTTACTGTTAATGAAAAAAATTGCTCTGCATACTGCCCACATTCTGGAACACACAATATGCTGTATTGGTCTTTAATGTACTGCTATTGAAATAACCTGAAGTATTTGTATATTTTAAGTTTTCCTAAAAATCATTAGAACTTGAGTTTTGCTTTATTTGTCATATGCAACATCACACACCTCAGTAATTCCAAATCACATCTATCCTTCAGTCCAGTGCAGAGCAGCTTCACTCCTGAATCCTGCAGATTATTATTGCTCATGTTCAGCTCTTTTAGACTGGTATCTGATCTGAGAACTGAAGCCAAAGCAGAACAGCTTCTGTGTGTTAAGTTACAATCATTTAACCTACAAGAGAAATGACATCAGAGAATTAGGCTGCACAAATACAACACATTTGTATTTATACTAACAGATTTTCAGAGCTGTTTTGGAAAGTGATGAGTACTGATTAGGGGTGGGACTTTCACAAAATCGACAATTCGGTTTGTATCATGGTTTTTGGTTTGATTTGGTTTACATTGTAAAAAAAAATATGCCCTACTGTAACACTTAGAAATACAGTGCATTAGCATAAAATACATAGCCTTTTAACCTATAGTTTACACTACAGTATTTTAAATATTATTGTCAAGGCCACGCAATGAAAAAACTAAATGAACCAAGCAGCTTGATGTTAGTAATAGGCTCATTGTTTTAATAAATGACAAGTAATACTAAAAGGGAAATGCAATTTAGGAAGAAGTAATTTTCACACAAATGTTTACTGTCACTAATGTTATGACCCCTTGCAGTCATTTTTTATTTATTTTTTTGTTGGAGAGTGGGTGCGCAGGCTTACAATACATGTGTTTGTATGCATGTGTGTGTGTTTACAGGTCCAGCTGATTGCACTGGGATTGTGAACACCAGTGTATATTTGGTTCTTCCTGATATAAGCAGAGTGTCTTTCTTTAAGGAAACTGCCAGGGGCCTGAGTCTGATGTTGGCTTTTTTCTTTGAGCAGAGTTCACATATCATGTTGCTTGTGTGCGCAAGTTTGTTATTTTAAATGGAGATGTGAGTATTGCATACATAAGAAAATATGGAGTGATGTGTGCGTGGCATCAAGCAGCCGGGATGAGCCTGTGCTGAGTGGTCTTGATAAAGACAAAGACATGAATGTGAACCGATCAATGCATACCGAACAGTGACATTCGTTAGGATTTTTTCAGTTGTCCCTACAACTTATAGTCAATGTCTTAAAGAAATAACCTGAATAACATTTCATTTAAACACTCATCCATAAATCATATTCTCTTCAAAGAGAATATGAAATACAATTCATTAAATATTTTAAAGGGCATCAGAGGTGAACATAAAAAAACATGTAGAGTGAGTACTCGGTCCTACATCATTTACTGATACTCAAGTACCTTTCATAAGTGCTATAAGAGTTTTTATTTCATCAGCTTGGTTTACCTTCCAATAAATGTAGATATTCAGATGTATATTTCAGACAGAAAAAAAATATATTGTTTCACTTAAACTTACAGAGCTTTTTTGGTAGTTTTGATGACTGCTGATAGTCTGATGAGACACTCGTCTGATTTCTTGAATTCCTGAAGCTCAAACTCCTCCATCTCTTCATGTGATGTCAATAACACAAAGACCAGAGCAGACCACTGGGCAGGTGAAAGATCAGCAGATGAGAGACTTCCTTTGCTAAGGTGAGACTGAATCTCTTTCACCAGAGTTTGATCGTTCAGTTCATTCAGACAGTAGAACAGATTGATGGATCTCTCTGGAGAAAGATTCACTTCAAACTTCTGCTTGATGTACTGAACTATTTCCTCTTTGCTCTGGTCATTGTGGGCTTGCTGCTGATCTACTTTTTTGTGGTCTTGCTGTGTAAACAAACCTCGTAAAAGTTGTCGATTGGACTGAAGAGACAGACCAAGAAGGAAGCGAAGGAAAAGGTCCAGGTGTCCATTGTCACTCTCAAGTGCCTTGTCCACTGCAGTCTTCAGCAAATCAATCATGGACTCATTTCTGTTCTCCTGTTCTGTAGAGTCTTGATCAAACACAGTTTTCTTGTTGATGTCTAGAATCAGATGTGCATTAAGGGCTGCAATAAACTCTTGAATGCTCAAGTGAACAAAGCAGTACATGGTACCAAGAATCATCCCTTTTTCCTCCTTAAAGATCTGAGTACACATGCCTGAGTAATCTGAGGCCTTATAGACGTCAATACCACAGGCTTCCAGGTCTGTGTCATAGAAGATCAGGTTGTTGTTTAGCAGCTGTTGAAATGCCAGTTTCCCCAGTGAAAGGATGGCGTCTTTATCCCAAAAAACATCTGGTGTGTATTCTCCATTATACTTTCGTCTGCTCTGCTGGATCTGAAAGCGCAGAAAGTGTGTGTACATCTGTGTCAGAGTCTTGGGAGTGTCTTCAGTGTTTGATTCCTGCAGTGTTTTGGAGGCGTCATCAGCCTGATTGTTTTTCACATCATTATTTCTCTTCTCCTGTAAAATGTTCTGGAGAACAGTGGCTGAAATCCAGCAGAAGACTGGGATGTGGCACATGATGAAGAGACTCTTTGATTGTTTAACATGATCAATGATTTTGTTGACCTGATTCTCATCTGTAAGTCTTTTTCTGAAGTACTCCTCCTTTTGTGCATCATTGAATCCTCGTATCTCTGTCACTCTGTCGATACAGTCAGGAGGAATCTTACTGGCAGCTGCTGGTCTGCTGGTGATCCAGATGAGAGCAGAAGGAAGCAGATTTCCCCTGATGAGGTTCGTCAGGAGAACATCCAGAGAGGCTGGTGACGAAACATCACGACACGTCTCATTACCAGCAAAGTTCAGAGGAAGACGACATTCATCCAATCCATCAAGGATGAACAGGACTTTATATCGATTCCTTCTTGTAAGGTTCAGTCCTTTTGTCTCTGGGTAAAACTGAGTTATAAGCTCCATCAAACTGAGTTTTTCTTTCTCCTTTAAGTTCATCTCTCTGAATGGAAGAGGAAATATGAAGCTGATCTCTTGATTTTCTTTTCCTTCAGCCCAATCCAGAACAAACTTCTGCACAGAGACTGATTTCCCGATGCCAGCGACTCCTTTTGTCATTACAGTTCTGATCTGCTTGTCTTGTGCAGACGCTTCAAACAAGTGTCTGCATTCAACCTGTATCTCTTGAGCTTCATGACGTCTGGAAGTAACTTCAATCTGTCTGACCTCATGTTCAGTATTGACCTGTTCACTGCCACCCTGAGTGATATAGAGATCTGTGTAGATGTTCTTCAGGAGTGTGGAGTCTCCTTGCTGTGCAATTCCTTCAAAAACACACTGATACTTCTTCTGTAGGCCACATTTCAGCTGATTAATGAAGATCAGCTCATCTAAATAAACAAAAAACAATTTTTTTCTCAATTCTATTTCTCTCCTGTATTAATAAGTGATAATCTGACAGTCTCTCACCTTCTAGAGTATCTGCTGCTTCATCTTGCTTCATTTCTCTCAGGAAGTAAAGTGTGAGATCAAGAGCTGCTTCTTTTATTCTGCATCTGTCCTCACTAAAGTCTTTAATGAAGTCTCGCATGTTTTCTTGTCGTAAGATTTTCTTAAACTTGTTTAGCTGATTCTTCACATATTTAAATATTTTGCTCTCAAGATCCTATAAAGAAAAAAAGGATGAAAGAAAAGCCAAATCTACATAAAGCAACATCAACACTTGTTCAAAATAAAAAAAATAAATGTTAAACATTCCTGTAACAAATATTAAATTAACTGGCTTAATTTATTTAATTAACAAATTAAATTAGCTTTTACTTTAATAAATAACTATGTAATTTTCACATTTACATTTTTCTGAACATTTTTATAAACTTTATTTTTTAACAACATATATATATATATATATATATATATATATATATATATATATATTGTTTGTATGCCAATCAATGTATTTGTTACGTATTAAATGTCATCAAAACTTGTTTCCTACCTTAAAGATTGTCTGGCAATCTGAATGTATACTCTCATATAGGAGCCTGTTCAAATAAAATAGCACATTTTTTAGCAAACTATTACTTGTATTAAAATTTTTTGTATTTTTTAAAAAAGAAAACATAATATTTCACTTTACATTGCTAATGTGAAGAAGATAAGAGCATATTGAAGCAGCATTTATTATTTGTAGATCTCAATCATTAGTTTGGTTTCTTTAGTCCAGACCAAGAGCAAAACATATACAACACACTATACCATTTTCACCTGTTTTGTTCCTTTTCCACATTACATTGATTGTTCTGGGCTGAATTAGTTTAAATGAACCCAAATGAAGTAATATGACATGTTCCACATAAATCATTGGCTTGATGTGTCAATCGGTCAGAATTTTTGTAAGAGAAAATTACTTGGCATCTCTGTTATTTCTCTTTATGCTTGTCTGGTTTGAATGCAGCATTTACTGTAGAATGGCCAAAACAAACCTCAACAAAAAGGAAAAACTTTTTTTAATAATTAAATAATATTAAATATTGAAATATATTCTGTCTTCTGCAAAGAAGACTGTGTAGTAAAAAAATAGTAATTCTGCATCATCGACAGGTATTTCATATATGTACTATTTCATTCATTCATTCATTCATTCATTTTCTTTTCGAGTTAGTCCTTCTATTAATGTGGGGTCACCACAGCGGAATGAACCGCCAACTCATCCAGCACATTTTTACACAGCAGATGCCCTTCCAGCCGCAACCCATCTCTGGGAAACATCCACACACTCATACACTACAGACAATTTAGCCTACCCAATTCACCTGTACCACATGTCTTTGGACTGTGGAGGAAACAAGAGCACCCGGAGGAAACCCACGCGAACGCAGGAAAACTATGCAAACTCCACACAGAAACGCCAACTGACCCAGCCGAGGCTCGAACCAGTGACCTTCTTGCTGTGAGACGACAGCACAACCTACTGCGCCACTGCGTCGCCATATGTACTATTTATTTTACATAATATCAGTCCATCAATACCCAAGGTTTACAAAAAACATAAGTCACATATTGTATTTTTAATAAAATTCTCTTGTAAGCAAAACAGAAAAAAAGTGAATACTCAAATATTCACATTTATATTGTAAATATGACAAATATTTAAAGCAAAGGTGTGACAATAAACATTTGCTGAAACAGTTCATATAAGTAACCAACAATAAAAACATGGAATACCCTTCAGATGATGGTGGTATCTCAATGAAGTTTGGAACTTCGCCTTTCGACTGGTCACTCTTCAGAGACACAGAACTAAACACAGATGAACCTGATCCCACACTGAAAACACACGCACGCACACGCACACGCGCACACACACACACACACACACACACACACACACACACACACACACACACACACACACACACACACACACACACACACACACACACACACACACACACACACACACACACACACACACACACAACTAGCACTTTTTATTTAGTTAACTTCTATCACATAAGCTAGTGGAGAAATGATCTAATGCAATAATGTGAAACACTTTTTAGTAGCTGATAGTGCTTCATCTCTAAAGTTCAGTACATTATCTTTGGCTGGTGATGTTTAAATACTAATAAAAGTGCAAATGAACTGAGACAAACTCTGTCAACTGCAGAAACCAGAAGATGAAATCATTACTTTATAATTCCAATAAATAAAACGAGTAATTGTATGCTGAAATGTAAGGCTGAGAAATGAGTGAACTCTTTTAAATTTTTTACAAACATATTTGCTGATTTAGACTGTAAAAAGCGATGATTTCAGTTGTTTAACGTTGTTTTAACTTTTCCCAAAAGTCAGCTACGGTAGAAACTCTGTCCACTGGTGACTTATTATACTTACACTATTACAGACCTGTTAGCCATGTACTGTACAGTTTAACTTCTAAATAACAATAACTAACCATCAGATATGCTCCAGGGGTGTAACAGATCACGGTTGATTTTTGATGTGTATGGATCACAACCCACAGTTCAGAATACTCGTGACTCGCGGATTAATAACTTTTTTGAACTTGTAGTTTTATCCAACATTTATAACAATTGCGGAGATCACCTCCCGCATCATTCAAATCACGTATATGAAAGCATTTCGACTTCCCTGTAAAATATAATGATGATGAAAAAAAGTTGTGGTGGGACCTAAATGCTTTCTTAGTTTATTATTTAAAGGTGTTTTCTGTCACTGCTTGTTTAGTCTGCATTAATGCATTCAGTGTAAAGCTGCACAATTAAACATTAAAAGATTGTGATCTCAATTCAAACCCGCAAAATATGAATGATAAATGATAATGATTTGCATATATTTATTAATCCTTCGAAGTGCTGCATTTAAATCTGCTTTTGATCAAGAGCAATTCAGTTTAGACTTTTTTCAGTGAGTTACAAACAAATAAATAACATAGAAGTACTAGAAGAACATACAGATATGTTCTCCTTGTATATAACAGATATAAACACTGATGTTTATGGTAAAGAATAAAGGTGATTGACTGATTGAAAGTCACTTCACATTCTAATAGTAATGATTACAGTAAATGATGAGAGAGAGGTAAAAACACGCTGAATCAAAACTTTTTAAAATCCTGAATCAATATTAGAGTTCTTTTTGCAAGTTGAAGGAAAGATGACACCATAGCTGATGTATTTCTTTTAGACAGGTAATGTTCTGTTTTAAAACTATTTTAGTCACGCAAAGCTTATGTAGACTTTTGCTGTTTTATGAATGGTTTAAAATGAAAGAGTAAATAAAAAAATTAGAGCAGTAAACACAATACAGCGAAACCTTGAAACCGTGATTTTTTTAATCCAAGGTTATCATACCATCAGAAATTTATACCGGCCCATGCCTACAGACAACCTTCTTTCATGTGCTGTGCTAAAGCGACTCTGCTTAGTGGTTGGCCAGCAGCATGCAGGAATTGCAGTCATTTCTAAGCCATATTTACATGCTATTTCAGACTGAATATTCAGAGTAGCAGTAAACTATAAAAGAAGTGTGTCACAGGTGGTCATTGTTCAAAAATGAACCAATGTGAATATAAAAGCAATTTCAGCTCAATAAAGGAGGCTGGGCAGAATAGCGCTATTTACTGATGTTTTGTTGTTAAACTGAATAAAAATCTACATTATCGATGCTGTAAAAGGACCTTATGAAACTGACAATAGTGACATCAATCTATAATCAGAAGATTTTAGTGGCTGAACAACACTTCTGTGCATATAAATGTCTTTAAATGTCTTAGTAAAAACAACTACCTTTTCCCCATTTAACACAATTTTTACATTTAAAATGTTTTGGAACAGTAAACATGTCAGACTACATAATTAAAATAAACCACTGACTTCTATCTTCATTAGCTTCAAAAACACAGATTTCCTTACAATACAAAAAAAATTCTTTATATACCTGAAAAACAGTATAGCAAAACAATTTTCTGCAGTTTTAATACCTAAAACACAGTTATCATCTCATGCCTATTTGTCTGCTGTCATCACACACATTCGTGTTCCAAGAGGTGGCAGGGGAGGGACTGTGTTTCAAAGATTTTATGCTAAGCATTTAGCATTATGGCAGATCACCTACTGCACTTTTAAAATCCCAGATTAATGGAACTTGACGCTGGTGGATGTTGTAGCAATTACATTATTCAACCAAAAGGTGGCGACAAACATCTATCAAAATTATGACACTGAATAGGTTTTCAAAAATGATACATCTATAATAAAACATGAAGTTTTGTGTGTGAATTGTTTAATCTTAAATTGAAAATAAATATAAGTTGTACAAGATGCTAGATTTCTATATTTATCATTATCAGCAACAGTAGCAAAAATCAGTTTTAGTATTGAATATTTTCTTTTTTTTAGCTGGTTCTTTCTTGATTTTTTATTTTATTCAAATGACAGGTTCTACATTATGTTTTTTAAAGCCAATGTTTTTTTAGTAATATTTATTTTTTCAAAATTGAAAGCAAATGATCCAAAATTATACTGATCCAAAAAATGGTCCAATCCGTGACTCAAAAAACCATAGTGTGATCCAAATCGTGAGATTTGTGATCCGTTAAACCACTAATATGCTACAAATAAACATGATTGGATAATGCTATTCTGAGGTTGTAAAGGACTTTAGCTGTGCTCTGTTTAATTAATTTTACACATCACCAATATTCTGCAAATTAAGGCCCCGTTTACACTAATATGTCTTCGTTTTAAAACGCATAAGTTTTGCGACGGTTACGCCAACCGTCCACACTACGCCGGAGTTCTTGAGCACCGAAAACAGACCGTTTTGAAAACGCTAAAGAGACCATTTTTATTCTAAAACGCTGCTGCTCCGTCTCAGTGTGGATGTGAGAAAACGGAGACATCTGAAAACAGAGGCGGGTCTGCCGACATTCACCTATTTGATTGAGGCTTTTCCTCAATATTAAGTAGTCTAACGTTACACACAGTTTAGTCCTGCATTCTCTTCTTGTAAGTTCAGACTTCGCAAGTTTGATCAAGGCTGCAGTCTCTTCTTCTCAGTTTGATATGGAAAAGCAGACTATACCGAGGACACGGGTAAATCTTCAAAGGGAACAGTGTACTTTATAACTTCATTCACATCACCCTGGCTACGTTGTTTCACTTTCTCAACAATAAAATGTAATCATGATTTAAGGAACTGCCTATTTTTATTTTAATATTAACAACTAAACAGACAGCAGAAATGTTGAGGCGTCGTGCTGCATATTTGAGCGTCATCTTCACTGTGTGGATATTTATAACAAAACAAAGCCTATAACAACTGGCTTCTTTCAATTTCAGTGAAAATACGAAACATACCCTCTTTTTTGCTGAATATCAGTTTTAATAATCGATAATAGCCATTATAAAATTATAACATACAATAAGTTTATATATTATAGGAAATAAAGGCAAGCGATCAGTCAATATACAGAATGTACGTGGTTACATTAATCATTAACTTATCTTTGCGCTCAGCCAAAACACATTACCTGAGAACAAGTAATAGATTCCAATGACCAAAGTCAGGGAATATGTCGTTAGATAAAGACAACAAGATGAATGAAATATCCCGTTTATTAAATATAGTAAGATTAGATCCATCGGGAGATGCTTGATGAGCAATCCAACTAGCACAGCTCTCATTTGGGTAGATAGGCTGCAGCGCTTGCCCGAGAGTGTGTGTGTGTGTCTCGTGATGTGCATGTCATTCTTCCGTGACGGGAAGTCATTCAACGAACATCCTAAGTCTCCCGGAAGTTTTGTTAGTCTCCAGCAAAAGCACAATTACTACCGAATGCCTGCAAATGAGTGATAATCTCCCTGTAATCGCGCGTCTCCCTCCTGGTCCTCAAATACGTTGGGCACCCTTCTCATACCTCCCCACTGCATCCCTCATCGCTCTTCATACACGTGGCACGCACCTTGTCAGCCCCCCTGTTAATTTTTTAAATCTTTATCTTTGCCATGATGACAGTAAATTTCATTAGATATTTTTCAAGACACTTCTATACAGCTTAAAGTGACATTAAAGGCTTAACTAAGTTAACTAGGCAGGTTAGGGTAATTAGACAAGTTATTTGATAACGATGGTTTGTTCTGTAAACTATCAGAAAATATATAGCTTAAAGAAGCTAATAATTTTGACCTTAAAATGTTTTTTTATTATTGTTATTAAAAACTTTAATAATAATAATAATAATAATAATAATAATAATAATAATAATAATAATAATAATAATAATAATAATATCATCAGACAAAAATATCCTTGCCCTGTTAAACATCATTTGGGAAATATAAAAAAAAATAGAAATATTCAAAGAGGATTTAATAATTCTGATTTCAACTGTAGATGTTACAAACTAAGCAAATTCCAGAAAACTCAAATGCTTTTAAACTTTTAAAAACTTATAACACTGCATAATTTTTGTTTATACTGATATATGTAAACTACAAAAAAAAACCAAAAGGTAAACAGTGATTATTTAAAAAGTACAGTGTGTATATCAACATCTAGTCAAAAAATAGTATTACATTTAATAAAATATGAAAGAAGTTTTAAACAGTTTTAAACCTGTTGCAATCTAAAAAATGTATTTTTAATTGTTTTGGATGGACATGACAATGGTGGAAAATAAGGCCACACCTGTAACTGAAACCTCTTACCTTTTTTTCTCTGACCAACAACCTTCTCTTCGTTTTTCTGACATACTGAAGCTTGTATTTTTGTATTGCTGAAGACAATCAGATGTTCATTATAACCTGGACATGAAAATGTGTCACTGAGATTAAGATCATGAGTTACCAAACAATATAAAATAGATATATGCTAGCCTACTTTTTTTTTTTTTTTTTTTTGTCAGCTACATTTACAACTATTTATGTTGTGTTGCTTATCAACTTCTAAAACCAAAAGAATTGCTTTGGCTACAGAATGTTTTTTGTTTGCAAATTAGATTGCAGACCGTAGCAAAATGGAATAATAATAATAATAATAATAATATTAATAAAATGTATAAACAGATAAAATAAGGCTTACTGTTTTTCACAAGCTTCTTGTTCACAAACGTTTCAAACACTTTACTTCCTGGGGCCTGTTTCATAAACCAAGTTCTAAGTGTAATGTTAACATTCACCTGCCGTAATTTGATGCTATTTTAATTCACCTCTTAATAATGATTAAAACTTTAGTCACTTAATAGTATATATATATATATATATATATATATATATATATATATATATATATATATATATATATATATATATATATATACATACATACATACATACATACATACATACATACATACATACACACACACACACACACACACACACACACACACACACACACACCAAACATATTTTAAAATAGAACGATATGGAAACATAGAAATTTAATTTCAAATAATTTATATCAAAATTAACAAACTACAACATTCCAACTTATATTTTTTATTTTTCTGTATATTTTTTCCTGTTTATAAAAATGGGTGGACAGTAACATGCACGAGCAGTTATTAGATTATTTAAACTCAGATTAATTAGATCAAAAGATCTTCAGCTTGCTGTTATGAAACCGATTTAAGTGTGGACGTTAGTTAGGCTCAATGAAATCAGTTTTTTTTAACGTTAACTTACTTTAATCCCCGCTTTTCCAAACGACTGTAATAACAGCCCTCGGGTCGTAAAATAATTCAGAACATGCTTACATATTTAATAAGTTATAATTCTATCGAAACTGTATTAGTCTGAGTAAAGTTATTTAAACTTACAGCAATACAGACGGTCTTGTGGAGCAGAAACTTTCACCCCAGAAATCTGTAAAACACTTTCGGTAGGGACGCCGCTAAAACCCCTTTGTTCCTTCAGGATTGTTGTTTGTCACATGGTAAGATGAAAAAAAAAGAAAGTTTGTCAAAGCAGTGTTGGTTCATTCGCGCCATCAACTGGACATAATTGTGAAGCACAACACATCTGAGGCTCCTTCCTCGGGGCAGGGGTATATTAAAATATATATATACATACAAGAATGCTATATGGCAATTTGCATTGTGGCCAGGCACCTGTTACAGCAATTGCTCAAAATATCATATATAGAGTACGTAAATGAAGTTAGAAGACAAAAGAACAAGTTCTGTTTAACATAAAACTGAAAATTCTTTCATAATTTACTTACCCCTTACTTGCTCCAAACCTGTTCGTCTTTCTCCTGTTGAACACAAAAGAAGATATTCTGAAGAAAGCTGGAAACATGTAACTACTGACATCCATTGCATTTATTTTTCCTACTATAGAAGTAAATGTTTATAGGTTTTCATCTTTCTTCAATATATATTATTTTGTCTTCAACAGAAGAAGGAAACTCACAAGGGCTTGAAACCACATGAGGATGGGTAAATACTGAGGGAATTTTCTTTTTTTTTTCTACCGGTGTATATATATATATTTTATTACACAAGTAAAAACTAGCTGCATGGTATTGGAAAAAAGACTGACATTGAGATATTTTATTTATGGAGCTGAACTGACTCAACTGGACATCAACTTTGCAAACTGAACTGACACAGTTTCAGTTTACCAGGATAGCAATAAGTAGATGGCTGTAAGTAAATGTCAATCATACAAAATAAATAGCATGATTACTAGACACTACAGGTGTTACTATGTTTTGTTTTGTTTTTTTGTAGATCAGCAATATTAATGATGTGGATATAACTGCATATTGCATTTGCATGACTTCTCACTTTTTGCATACAATACAAAAGCAAAGGAGATTAACCTCAAAATAGGGGTAAAAGATTCCCCCTAAGTTTGAGCTTAATATGTTTATATAGATAATTTCATAACTAAACCAGTCATTCATTCATTAATTTTCGTTTCGGCTTAGTCCCTTTATTTATCTGGGTTATGTAAAAATTGAAATATTACAAATATTTTTGATATCTTTGACAATTCAAAACATGAGCTGAAAACAGAGACAGGTGACTTCACAACCCAGCAGGGGGGAATGCGGGAAAAACCAGTTCCTGCTGCATTTGCATCTGAGTATGCTGAAACTCAGCTTCATCCCCCCCATCTCACGCATATGGTCATTTCAATGTTTGAATGTTCTAAATTAACCAAACTGACTTTAACTATCATGTTTGATGTCATTTGAAATGTCTCAGTGTGATTGGTACAATGGTCTCATTCTCTCAGAAACAGACATAATCAAAACAATAAATATATAACTTCAAGCATCTTTTAAACCACTGTGAAGGGTGTGACTTTTCCACTAAGTGTGAACGCCTTTTGTTATACACACCCCCTTCCTTGAGGGAATTCTTGGATTATTTAAGGTAAGGTTTGAGAAAGGCTCAGGGCGATTCTGCCTAACCAGATCAGCCCATAACATGGCTTGCTCCATGTTATGTATATTTTTGAAGTCAGGAATGCATCTTTTTCATCTTGGATAAATCTTTGATAATTTGATGTTTTGTATTGATCATTTATGAATTGACTGATTGAATTGGCATAATACATTTACCTGACTAATAAATTATGTTTTGAATTATTCAAACAGAGTTCGTGTTATTATCTCTAGTAGATTGTGGTAATTTCATAGCACCACAAGCCCCTGTTCAGGTTAGTAGCGGACTACGGTAGACGGAGCATTGCGGCACGTTACACGATGTCTCTAGAGCTCCGACTAACAAATTGGCATTTATTCATGTATACTTAGGCTGTAAAAGGATATCTAAGGGGATAGTCCTTCACCCGATAAACTTTTAATACTATTTAGATAGTATAGTGATTATTCAAAGTTACTACTAGTTTAAGAACGACAGGTCTGCTTAATTCTATACTAATGATCATTAAATGACTAAATGGCTCTGTTTGATTTAGGAGGTAGCAGACCTATGGGGACCGCATAAAAAATATCCTAATCTGAGTAAGTAGGGTTTTGCCTTTTTAGGATAGCGGTCAATCGCCACTGTTTAGTGACCAAGACTGACATGCTTGTGCTTAAGAAATTGTATACTCGGCCGGTACAAGATTCAGGATGTTATAGAGATCCCAATGAACGAGAAAAACATAAAATGATGAACCGAAGAGAATATTCAATCATAATCTAAATTAATGTGAACGGAAACAAAATAACCTTCTCAATGTTTTATAATTGAAGTCATATAAAACAAGGATAAATATATTAATATTCTAAACCACCTCATACTAAAATTGGAGTCAGATATGAGTTAACTTTAATATAAATCAACATTGTGCACTGGAAAGACCGAACATGCAGTGAACCTTCATCCACCATTGGATACCGTCATTGGACCAACTGGCTGGACCCTACAGTCACCACAGCAGAATCTTTTACGCAGTGGATGCCCTTCCAGCTGCAACCCATCACTGGGAAACATCCACACACTCGTTCACACACACATACACTACAGACAATATGGCTTATCCAATTCACCTATACTCCATGTTTTTGGACTTGTGGGGGAAACTGGAGCACCCAGAGGAAACCCACACGAACATGGGGAGAACATGCAAACTCTAGACAGAATCGGCATCTGACCCAGCGATCTTCTTGCTGTGTTTCTTGCACCGCGTCGCCAAACTAAAGCATGTAACTGCCAATTTTCCAATGTCCTATCTACAACTAATTTGTTAAATCTGACCCCACTTCATCAGGGGTTGCCACAATGGAATAAACTGCTAATTATTCTTACATTTGTTTCATGCAGTAAACCCCCAATGCTGGGAAACGCCCATACACTCTATCAGTTCACCAAAAATGAATGTCTCTGTACCATAAAGGAAACACACACAAACAGGGAGAACATGCAAACTCCACACAGAAAAGCCGCCTTGTGCAGCTTGCACTCAAACCAGCTTGTTCAAGTTCATACACTACAGCCAATTTTCCTACCTAATTCACTTAGACCCCGTTTGCACTGCCATAAGTGACACAGATCGGATCTGTTCTATGACCGTGTAAACACAAATACATTCTGATGTTCAGAGATCCATTTCAGGCCTCCTTCATATGTGGAAATTAATCAGATATAAATCGGATATGTGACAATGTGACTGTATTATTAATTAATGGATTCTTGATGTTTAAAGATCTTCAAAACATTCTTTTCAGCAGCTGTCTGCTCATGATTTTGTATTTTATTTTTGTTAGGTATTCTCACTGTTCCTGTCATAATCAGAGATTTACAAGATCCACCATCATCTGTATCCTTAAGTGAGTATTGTTCAGTGTTGTGTTCAGTGGTGAATGTGAGTGCTGTGAGTAGATGCCAGCATCAGTGTGTCTGATCTCAGCATCAGTCTCTCTCTACCTCTGGAGGTGGAATATCAGGATAACAACACCTACAGTGTGGTCAACAACACCATCACGAACCACACCACACAACTGGACATCAGTCAGACCTGTCAGGCAAGATCAGGTAGTCATCAGCTTACAATGTACAACATTTCTCATTGCATCCATGTTGCTTTCACTTCTTACACACCACATAATTTAACTGCTTCTTCCAGTGAATAGTGACATGCAGGTTCATCTGTTAAATGTCTAGGTGTAGATTAACTATTATTATGTAACATTGGGCTTTAAATACTTTTAAGATACGAAAAACCTTATAATGTACTCTTCAACAAGTGGTTCCAAACTTTTATGAGTTTCTTCTGTTAAACACAAAAGAAGAAATATTAAACAATTTTAAAAACTTGTAACCATTGTATTTGTGTGTTTCCTACTATGTAAGTCAATGGTTAGAGGTATTCAACTTTCTTCAGATTATTTTCTTTAGTGTTCAACAAACGAATGAACAGGTTTAAGAATGACTAAATCGTGAGTACATTTTAATTTAGTGGTGAATTATCCCTTTTTGACATTCTGATTTTGAATGTTGAGTTTATTTTATTTGTAATGTTTGACTTGCCTTCATGATGCTGAGATGAATGATAAAAACACTGCTATTGAAATTTTCTTTGTCTAGATGTTTTTTTCAGCCATTTTATGGCCTTATAAATAATACTCTAATTACAACAAGAAAACAGGACATTTTAAATATTTAGCCACACAGCAAATCACTGCTCAAAAAACGTTTTAAAACAAGTTTTTGCTAGCTGGCATAAAGATAAACACTGAGCTAGATTCATAATTATGTTTTTTCCCTCTCTTGTAAATCATAGTAAACAATTAAGTCACGCTCACAGAGGTTGTTTGTTTTTTCTCTATTACAGAATCCAGAACTTTACGACTTTTCCTGGTTGTTTTCCTGCTGTTTTTTATCACAGTTATAGGTGTGATAATATTCCGTCACTACAAAAACTACATGCAACTAAAACAAAAAGGCATGTATTATGCACAAATTAAACTTTTTTTTAGAACAATTGTCACAGAATATCATTACATTTAAATATTAATAACTTTTTTATTATGAATTATAATTAAACAGCTCTGACTAATGAGGAAAATAGCGATAATACTGATGCAACATTTACTCCACACTGTGATCAGGATACGGTAAGATATGTTTTATTTATCTCTCATCCAAATCTCTTCACTTTTTGAGATTGTTTAGATTTATTTATTTATTTATTTTATTTTTTTGTTTCTTAAGTTACTTATTGTATGCTTTCTTTTGTGGTTTGAATAATTTAACAACCCCTTCAATAGTGCATTTCATCTTATACCATTTAAGATTTAATCATTTGTTGTTCATTTTTAGTGTGTTTTCTATGACTTTTGTCCATATTATCTTATTCTATAATTGCACTTTTTCACAAGAATACAAGATAAATCAAAAGTGACAATTAATTTCTTTTTTTAACCATCTTTGTGGGGATAAAATGTCTTGCGTCTCTT